AATATTAGTATTTTTTTCAACTTTGAATTATATAACAAATTAGCGGTAAAGATTATTTTAACCAGAGGCGGATGGAGGGAGGGGTGCTAAAGCCCTGCCCCAGCCCAAAAGCAAATTGGTTTGTTAAAATTGGAAGACTTAGCCTAAATTTTTGGTCAAAATAAAAAAGAATAAAAAATTTAGCCCCGCCCGAAAATTAATTTTAGCCTAACTAACTTTATTCCCAACCCAAGTCGAATGTTCAATTATTCAAATTTAGTTTAAGGCTCTACAACAATTACATATTTATTTTATTCATATTCATGACACACGGATAACTCGTTACCAAATTAGGTAGTTTATTTTGTACACACATATGTAAAGTACCTAATTTGGATAAAAGCAATAACCATATTCCTTTCTTGAGACCTTCACTACATTGGTGATGCTTTTAAATAGTGATATTAACAAAGAAATAGACTTGCCAAATATGGGATATATGTACATATTGTGACTTGTGAAAGTGATCACTGAGTCGATAAATAGTCCAGACGTTGTAGTACAACCATGGCATAGGAGATTTAAAAATGTTTATCGCTACATGTTTGGCCCCCATTATTCCATGTCATAATGAGATAAATAATAATTTTTTGAAAAATGTGTGATTGAAAAAGAAAGAGAAAATTTTGAATTTGTGTTTAGTATTATTTAAATGAAAAATGCGTAATTGATAAAAATAAAGATAAAAATGAATTATAATTTAATGAAAAATAATGGGGACCAAACAGGGCTTTGCTTTGCATTTTCATTACTTTGAGGTTATAGTCTCTTTTGACATGACTTTTTTAAAAAAATTAACTTTCAAACAAAAATAAAAGTAACTTCCTTCGAAAAAAAATTTCACGAGAGACAAAAGCCTTGTCCAGCGAATCCTCAAGTCATTCACGTTAACTCTTGAACCTGTACTTTTCTTTTAACTAATTCATGATAATTTGACTAGAACAAAGCCTCTCTGTCGGTCTGTCCTCGGTCTTCCAACGCAATAGCGACAGCTATTTAAGGCAGATTTTTCTAGCAAAACAATTTTTTTAAGGTAACATGTGAACATATAATATAGAAATCTCGACAAAAACCGTTCATCTTTATATCAGTTTGACCAAAAAAAAATTAGTATGGTACGTCAAGTTTTCGATAGGTTCATACAGACGACACGTTGATAATATTTTTAATTTAATTCAATTTAACGTGATCTTTGATGTTATTATATAACATGTGACGACGTGAGTTTAAGTTGACATCGGATTGAGCTATATTACGAACAGAACTTCGATGAATGTAGAAAAAAAAAAAAAGCATTAAGTGTAGCTAAATACTCCCTCCGTCCCAATTATATAGGCTTGTTTAATTTTTCACACGGATTAAGAAAGTTTATTTAATGTCATAGGAAAATTATTTTTTATCAATATCTTTTCTAGTTTATCCTTATTTAATTTTCAGTGTGTAAAACTAAATTATTGTTAGAATGAATAAAGAATTTGAATTTTCAAGAAGTTTGCATATTAAGTGGGGAAAATTTATTAAGGGTATATTAGTAAAAGAACACAATAAAATATTTTACATTAGAAAACAAGTCTATATATTTGGGACAAAAGAAAAAGAAAAAACAGCCTATATAATTGGGACGGAGGGAGTAATAATTATAGGGTTTATCCAAATGTACCGAAAGGGGGTTGACCGAATGGTGCTTTAGACATGAGCCACTTAGGTATTTGGGCATCGTGTGTGTTTATGAGAGTACGTAAAAATGGGAGAGAATAATCTTATAAAGTTTGTAGTGTTTAAAGTTGCATTATCTTTCGAATGACATAAGTTGTGAGCTTTTATGATAATAGAGATAAAGTGGTAGCCGTTGGATGAAGAGGCGTGTGACTTCATCTTCTTATTCGAATAGTCATATCATATGTGTCATATCACACATATTAGGCCATGCATCATTTAATGCACTCTGAAAAAGTAGTAACTCGAGGGTCTAAATCTGAGTACTTAAGTAGTACTCTAATAAGACTTAACATTCTTCTACTACAACATCACATCAATCATTCGCAAAAGATCTTTATTTAGAAGATCTCTCGGAAAAAATAAATATGAAAGATGCTCCTTTATGGTCACGAGGCTTCCGCTTCAATAATGTTAGATTTTGGCCACTTACATAAATTTTATAAAACAATTGCAGATGAGACTTGCACACACAATTACATGATAACCTAACACAAACAAAAAACTGTTCATTTGTAGGTATACGAACATAATAAAAGATTCAAGACGTGGATAACGGTGCATTATAAGCAACATAAATTATTATTAAAACTAAGTTCACATGCTTTTATCTAAGAGGAAAGTTTTTGCACATTATTTATAAAGACTTTAAAAACTATATCCTAAACCTAACACCAACAAAGACCTTTTCCTTGGTAGGTATGAATATCTTAAAGAAACCTCTAGTTATGTAACAAATTTTCTTTTTTTTTTTTTATGTTACAATCATCTAGGGATGGCAAAAAAACCCGATAAACCCGATACCCGCGGGGACCCGCCCCGAACGAGGAAAGGAAAACCCGCTTAAACGGGTAACGGGGCGGGGATGGGGCGGGGAATTATTCCCCGAGGCGGGGACGGGTAACGGGGTCCCCGCCCCGCCCCGCCCCG